CTACCCCCAGAAAAGGTAAAAAGCTAAAACAAATTCCAGATGTGTTAGTCTGAAGGTTTTAGCTTTTCAAATACACAACTATGTGTGCCTTTCACAATAACAGTCAYAAGTGAATCATACTTTTTGTACTACTGCACCCTTCAACAGGCCAGTCTGCAAGTTAAAACAATATAATAAACTGCTAAATTATAAGTATGCAATTATGGATTGCTTTTTGCTGTTATAAAAAGCTGGGTTACATATCCAATGGTCCATCTTTTAAATTCAAACTGTGCTTAACGTTTTTTAGTTCAGACATACTGAAACCCAGCAGGACAGATGGCTCCCGAAGTTTTATCGCATTTAAGCACCTATTCCTCCTTTTTGCAAAGAATGATGGGACATCAATTTTCCACACACATAGCAGCAAGGAAAGTAATTCCACCTCTTTTTTAGAAGGATATGGCCTCTTGTGAAAGTAATCTGACAAAAACTGTTTCTGTGCCTCATATGAATTGTGATCATACAGATTAGGATCCACTGCTAGAAAGCAGAGATCCTCACTAGAAGGAAGCTTCCTCATTTCAGTCCTAATCTTTTGTCGTTTGAAAGGCACTACCCCTAAATTCATTTCATTCTCTGGAGACAGAGCTATGCCAGTACTTAAGCTCAGAGGCTGCTGTTCTTTATTCCTTTGGTCTTCTGCAACAAAGCAGGAATCTGATTGCTTTCTTTTCACCAGCACAGAAACATGCTTTTCACCATTCAAAAACAGCAGCTCTTTCCTSTCAGTGCGCTCAAGCTCCATCTTCAGGCTTGAGTTGGTATCTTTGGGAGCACTTCTACAACGGAGCAAATGCACAGCAATAGCTGTCAGAGTCATATTTCCAGTGTACACACCGCAACAGTGGATGCACTTGAAAGCAGGAGACTTTAAAATTGTATGCACAGTCGGCATTATATGATGCCGCTCTTTCAAATGCTTTTCATAGGTTTCTCTACCAGCAAACGTACCTAAACAAAAGGGACATGTGAACATTTTTCTGGTGCATCTTCTGTTCACTTCTGCTGTCTGAGGTTTCACTTTGATGTAAACAGGGACAAGAAGTGTTGAATATATTCCAACAAGCACTGCCAAATGGACTTCTCTTTCACCCATGTCTTCATCTGGTAGCACTGTGTTGAAATCAAAGTGTGGAAACACAAGGCCACCCTGAGCATCGTTACCTAGCTGAATTCCTCTGTTGCTGTAACTTGCATGCAGCTGCTTTCTCCCATTGTGTGCAGTTTTATTGTGCTCCACGAGGCTTTTTAAGTCATAGAAAGTACCTGTGCAAAACAAGCAAGATAAGCCATGCATGAAGATATGCTTCATGAGCTCTTCCTCACAGAGAAAACATTTACAAGCGTAACACCGGATCGCCTTTTCTGTCATCCTCAGAAAGGATGCACAAGCTGCTAGTTTGTGAGGTTCTGGGGTTTCCACTTTTACTTCATGTGGTTTGTGGGCCACCTCCATGTGCACCTCATAGACATTTGATGGGAAAAGCTCGTTGCAAACAGGGCAGGTCTTCCATTGCTTGGCCTGTCTGACAGCCTGGCTTGTTTCAGGACCAGGCGGGGAGGTCTTTAGGGATACATTCTCAGAGGTCAGAAGGACAGGAGAAGAGGGAGCACTGGCTGGTGACTGGGACAGCTGAGTCACTGAGCCAGACTGCATGAGCTGGATGGGCACCTGTGGAGGTGTCACAGTTGCCACTCCACCACCAGGAGGTACAGGCAAAGTAACTGATACGGGRGCCAGTGTGTATGTAGGTATCCCATTAACCTGCTTGCCCGTGGGAATCAACTGCCTCAGTATAGAGCCCGCCGTCAGAAAAGCTGCACTTTGAGAAACCGAAGGTTGAACTGGCTGATTTACTGGGATAACTGCTGGTGCAACAGGTTGATTCAGCTGAAGGAACCCAGGTCCAACAGGCTGTCTGACAGGAACTACCCCAGGGGCAACAGGCTGGTTAAGCTGGAGAACACCTGACCCAACTGTCTGCGCCACAGGAAGGACCCTGGGATCAATGGGTCTGTTCATGTTCCCAAGTGACTGGTTGACAGACAGAATTGCTGGAGTAACTGGCTGATTCACAGGCCCAACAGGTTGAGTTACAGGGAGTGTTCCAGCTGGAAGTGGACCATTCATAGTACCAATCGGTTGATTATCAGGAAAGAGCCCAGGCCTGACAGGCTGATTAAGAGGAAGAACTGCAGGGGCCACAGTTCTATTGATGGTCCCAACAGAATGATTAAGAGAGAGGCCAGGAGAAACAATGATGGGCTGGGAAGGTGATGGCTGAACACCAACGTTGTTCTGACCCACGGGAGGATTGCTRGGCACAAGGGCGACGTGCGAGGGCAGAGCAGCGGGAGCAGAAGTGGTTTGTGGGAGGCTGCCAGAGGCACTTGGGAGGGTCACTAGTCCGCCTGTGTTCTGAACTGCTTGTGTTTGTACCATGCTCTGGTTTTGATTATTCTGTGGAAATGCAACCTGGATGCAAGCTGGAGCACTCATGGAACCTGGTGGGGCAGCAGCAGCCCCTGCAGATGGAGTAGCCGCTGCCACACCTTGAAAAGGCTTTGGAGCAATATGCATTTGTTTCACAAGTCCAGGTTTCTTAATATGTTCTGAAATCAGAGATCGAAGTTTATTCTCCAGGTCTCTGTGGGTTTCAGCTGTCAAGACATGGAACATTAAAGAATCTGGGCTGTTTGCAGAAGCATCACATTTTTTACAGTAGAACTCAACTGAATTTGGTGTACTTTCATCAAGTTTCTCGCCAAAATATACACTTATTAAGTTTTTAAAATGGTTCACCAGCACATGTTTCTTCATATTGTAATACAAGGTATCTGTGAATTGACATTTTAGACACGTGAAGTTTATGATGTCGCTCCTAAATTGTTTCATGCCATCCAAAATGCTCACTGTATAGTTCTGTATTCGTTTATTAGATGAATGAAACATCCGGATGTGTTTTCCCACTACTTTGGGATGAGAAGAAAATGTACATTTTGGGCAAGAAACCACCATCTCTTGGTCCATTTCATCCTCATGGTAACGATGCAAGTGATTCTTGAAAGAAGTAAGCAATTTGGAGGAGAACTTGCATAAGCTACAGCAGTACGGCTTTGTTCTGTATCTCTGCAAACAAAAGAAAAACATCCACTTAGAAACTGCCAGTCCCTACACCACTGGTATCTGTTTAAATCTGCACTATCACCTGTTGAAAATGCCTTCACTGGACGTATAAGCATGTATCTCCTCAATTTCTTCCGTTTTTGAAAAGCAGATTCAAAGACTGCATACTCAAGTGGAAAAAGATTTGTGGTTTTTTTTGTTTCATTGTAATTTATCAAGAAGACTTAAGTGAGTTTACTTCTACTCTAGTTCACAAGAGGTAATTCTGAGGCTTGTTTTTAAAGACAGGAATCATGTATCAAGCCAAGATGAATTCATATCCCACTGTATATAGAGATTAAGCCTTAGCAATTAGGAATAGCAGCCCTTTTAATATGACACTTTTAAAGATTTAGTTCAGGGCCAGCTCCTATATACTGGAGAAGGAGGGATGAGAACAAGCAGGGATTTTTTTTCGGTATTTCAATACCCTACTCTTCACTGAAAACTCTCCAGAAGTACCTTCTCAGCAAAGCCAGAAAGGACAATTTTTTTTGAGAACACTCTTTTGGAGCCAAAATAGTAATAGAAAGTAGTAAAACCTCCATTTATGCTAAAGCAGCAATGACCTCTCCGTATTAACTCATGCATACTCATGCATCCCATCATAGTAATTTCTTAAGGAAACTTCCTCAGAAACTTTCAGTATAGAGCATACCAATTCTTAGGAAAGTATTTTAACTGCTTAAGAATATACCTATCTTGCACTAAGCAGTGGTTTGCTGCCTCAGCTGTATGACACGTGACAGCATTTACTTTTCATATCAATATGAACATTATTTGTTCTTTCTGAAAAAGTGGTAGCCCCATCAACCATTTTTTCTGTCCAACTTCCGACCAAGTTAACCCTGGCTCCTGCCAAAAACCACAGAATCAGTCACAGAAACAGCCATGCGATAAATCTGTACTCTCAAACATCTAGTGGAATCTGTCTCTTCCCTCGGATGTATTTTTCACCTYACTGATTTCTGCCCCTCCTGTAACCCAAAGGGAACAAGCTGCTCCACCACTACAGCATCCATCCCGGTTGGATCACCCACATATATCTCACTGACACACCATGAAGAGCAGTAATAAAATACCTGCCGTTTTCTGGGATTTTTTTGCTATGTCATATAGCCATGAAGCTACAGTCAGCCCAGACAGCCATCTACTACCAGTACCAGGAGAGTCACCTGATGGTAACCAAAATCTAAGCTCCAAATTCAAGAGACTAGGTCAGACAATGCCACTGGTGGGCTAAGGCTGCTGAAGCAATACACTGCTAAGGTAACACTGAACTATCTTTTAACATATACTCTTCAGGCATCTAATCTCAGCTGCTAGCAAACAGCAACAGAGAAAATTAGCAGACATATCAATATTAGTTTTAAAATACACCGYCTGGAAAAACACCACTGATGCTACTAACTAATGAAGCATGCAGAACATTGCTAAAAGATACACCTCACTACTTGTGAAGGAGTCAAATGACAAAGAAAAGATTCAAAACAATTCTCTTTCAGCAGAACAAAAGAATATGGAATCTGCTGCTTTTCTTGCTCTGCATGAAACAGAGCTCTGCCTCAGAGACATTTGCCAGCATGTTCTTGCACATGCATCTGCTTTTGCTGTTCACACGTGCTACCATAGTCTACCAATGGTAAATCAGTTTTATAGAAAATTTGACAAAATAAAAATGACAAGCCACTGAYAAAAACGAAACCTCTTGCAGACTGACTCTAATTGTAAAAATGGAATCCAAAAGAAGGCTTAGAGACACTGATGAAAACATGATTAGTCCTCCTCAAAAGAACCCATCCCAGAACATAAGAACACCTTCTGTTGCATWATCTCACCTTCCCCACAACACACACATGCAGAAAGACAGATAGCCTCCAAAAAACAAAAGTTCTTTCAAAATTGTCAATGTCTGAAAATAGTACTAATGGTGGAAACCACCAACTTCACTTAAATAGACATCTTCTCCAGCCTATTGAGTTTCCAGGAGGAAAAACTTATTTTCCCCTTATGGCAACAACTTTGGATAGAACATCCTGAAGGACCAACTTCTTTTCTCTCAAATATGTGAATGATATGTATCAATAAATCATGATTATTTAAAGAAAATGGATAATAATGCTGTTAGAATCCAAAAGACACAGTTTGGCAAATCTGTTCCACAGGAACACATTACCAACTCTTAACTGAATTTCATCAGACCAGATTTCAATATTCTTTTTTGGACAGATATAACTGGTCATGCTGACTTCCTGAGTCAGGGCACATAGTTCTCCCTTCTGGTAAGGGACCAGGTCGCTCTGCCTTGTTGCCCCTCCAGACAACAGGGAAGAAAGATTCCCTCTCTTAGAGCACAACTTTTAATTCTTTTCCATTTTCACTGAAATAACTAATCAYTTTTTTCCTAAAGAACTGGTGAAGAAGACAAGCTTCACTTAGTCCATCTTCATCCTGTTCTTCCCTATTTGATGTCTGGGGAGGAAGGGGAACCTCCCCTGTTCATCTAACAAAATCTCCCAACACTGAACTTCTTTCTTCAGTCAGAAGGTAGAGGAAAAGGCAAAAGAGACAGAATCAAGAAGAGCAGAGTTCAAGTAACATCCTGTCTGGGGCCAGCAGACCTGGTAAAGGGAGGTGTTTGTCCTGTTAATAAAGAATAAATTAAAAAGGGAAACMATCATTAACAATTAACAGGATTTATCCCATTCACGTGAACTAAAGGCAATCTTTAGTAAAGGTAAACTGCAAGCCTCATCTGAAGTSGCATTTAAGAGGCTGGACACAATCTACCCCTACTCAAACAAAAAGTCTCATTTGCCTCTATCATCCACAAAGTTTTGTGAACAGATGAACTTCCAGTCTTAAATGTGAACTCAAGTTCAGGAAGGGAGAAACAGGAAAAAAAGCAGACAAAGTTCCTGAAGGGCAGAATCCTACTTAATGAGAGCTTGGCAAAGACTAAGTGGCTTTGTTTGGTCGGCCTGTATGCTGGGGCCTGAAATTACCCCACCTTGAAATCTCAGCTTGCTTTAAAGATAAAGACAGATGTTTAAAGGCAAAAATAGTCCTGACAGAAAATAGCCCCACCACACTATTCTAAAGCATCACCTTTTTGATTTGAGAAGAGCAGACCCACCCACCACCGTTCAGATGCCATTGACAGGTCTTTCACACGGAAGCCATGAGGGGGCCCAAGACTCTCCAGCAAGATTGACAGAAATCTCTTTGTCTGGACATACCCCTCTGCTCTACATAGAATCTTAGACACTTGCTACTACATACAATTATAGAACTGTTCATCTCAACTCTGCCTTTCATGTAGAGTCTAGGTATACAGAACTAAAAGCTGTTTCACATGCTCAAGTTCAACTATCAAGTTTTACACTGCCACCCCATCCCAAGCCACTGATGACAATTTCCTCTTAATCCACTTGCATCTATGCAACCATATTTTAATCCTTCCAATGAAACAGGATCCATGCTGTACAAGACCACGCTAATCCTACACATTAGATTAGGCTAAAAAGGCAAAACATTAGTGCGGCATCTCAAACCCTGATGAAGACAGCAAATAGCAATTGAAGTCCTCATAACCTGTGTTACAGGGAAAACAAAGACAAAATGCAAGATTATTCCCTGACTAATAGCACTTTGAAAACATTAAAGCTATTTTTTTACCATAAAAAAGCTCCATTCCAATTTCTGAAAATTTTTAAAGTCAGCAACTCCACACAACATATTCACCCAGAATTTGTGTCACACACATACATACCTTCCTTTTGCCCACAGGCTCCCAAGGAGAGACATCACTCCATGAAGTGTTACAAAAGTAGTTTTCACCTGCATCAAAACTTTTAAGATTCTAAAAGTAAAATAAAAACAAGAAATTAAAACAAGGCTTTTGCAGAGTGTTCTGAATAGAAATGAATTCTCAATAACAAATAAGGAAAAACAAGAAAGAAAAACCCACACAAAGAGAGGATGACTTGGAAGTCCTTACAGCATACAGACACTGTTCCCAAAACTCCGTTCAAAGAAATTACTTCTTTGACAATCTTTGATTTATTTTACCTCAAATACTAGTTCATGTGACTGCCTGCCAACAGAGCAGAAATTCTCAACATTTCATAGTTACTGAAAATAATACAGGGAGTGAAAATACTTACACTTTAATTCCACTGCTCCCAGCCAAACTCACAGTGAACACTCAGAAGTGTTTTCCTCATCTACCTTCCTCCTCCTTCATCAGTAGTATTTCACTGCTTACTTCCATTTATTAACTTACCACTATGGTTTACTTTTAATCAGGTATCAGGTTTCAGTATTAAATCTGCATAGCATTGTTACACTTTTAACTTGGAAAAACGTAAGACATTCACAGAAGCTGATTTCCAAGAGCTGTTTTTCCTGAAGCTGCAAAAACAGTATTATCGTCCGCCAACAACTGTCAGGGAAAGTAACTTTCCTTACAGCATTCTTCTAACCAATCCCATCAGAGAAGTTTATGTTCCTGAAGCCAAAGCCAGCTACTATCCTAAATACTAAGTTCATCTTCAGTTTTCTGARACCCATATATATTTAAATACAAACTTAATGGAAAAAAAAACAAACTAGATTCCTGYTTACTGGGCATTTCTGAAGATGCTAGGCTAGACTGAACAGCACACCAGAGCACCTTGAATGAAACACTGGCTACAAATTCAGGCTTTACCCATAGAAAACTTGCATTGCTTCTCCCATCACATTTTTCCCTTTCACTAATTCCTCTTCACCCAATACAGATACTTAGAGAAGGCAAGATGTTTCCACCTCTAAACCAAACACCACTGCAACAGCAGAAGCACATAGTAAGTAACATTTAAGATCAGATGACCTTACAAAAGGAGTGGAATTCATAAATCTAATAGCTTGTGTTTTGTGAAATTTAGCAGCAATGCAGAACATAACAACAAAGAGAAACAAAGCCTCAACCATCAAATACAGAATCCTACTTAATGCAGGCTCTGTCTGCACTAGGCTCTTGTCCACACCATGCAAATATGAGCGTTTCTGTGTGTTCAACAGATTATAGTGATTATAGTAAACCAGAACATCATGCCAGTGATAATTCCATTTAAACTTCATTATTCAAGAATTTAGAAAAATGTAGATGTGTTTGCAATATGCTTTCCAGCCTTTTCAACCGTCAAATTTGCCCAAGGAGAATCCAGACGAGCTCAGGGCAACAATAAACAAATYCCTTGCATACTAATCAACACCAAAACACTGAATAGTCATGTATATGCCTTTCAGCCAAACCTTAAAAAAAAAAAAATCAGAAACACCTTAGAAAGAACTACTGCTTGGAACAAGAACTACTTTTTATAGAGAAAATGAAGGTATTTGAGATTTACTAAAAATTGTGCAGCCAAACATGCTGGAGTGAATTAAACACTGTTAAAAAAGGGTTCCCTAAAGTTATGGCTTATCTGAAACATGTTTTGTTTTTGTTTTGAGAGACAGGCTCCTACACTTAAACACCAGATTCCCACAAGCCAAACACACGTGATAATGTGCCTAGATAGTTTTGCTGAAACAGCTATTTCCAACAGACAAATATCTACTAATAAAATTAGCCCATTAGTCAGTGGTGCAAATGGCTGTTGTAAACACTTGCTTTTAAGAGAGATCCGCTAATTTGTTATGCCCATCCCACATTTCTCACGTACAGGAGGGGAAGAAAACAGAAGAAGAGAAAGGTAACAATAAAGGAATAAAGCCCTCTGAGAAGCCTAACTAATCCTGATGCATAATGGGTATTCTTGAAGAGAAAAACATTTTTAAACCAAGAACTGTTCTCCCTTCCGTATTAAAACTATAATGGTTTTCCAGAACAAAAAGATAAAAAGCCCAGAGTTTAAATGAAGACACAGACATTGAATAGAATCATGGAATGGTTTGGGTTGAAAAGGACCATACAGATCACCTAGTTCCAGCCCCCCAGTCATTTGCAGGGATGCCAGTCATYAAACCAGGTTGCCCAGGCCCCCATCCATGCTGGCCAACACTGCCAGGAATGGGGCATCCACAACTTCTCTGGGTAACTTATGCCAGTGCCTCAGCACCCTCTGAATAAACAATTTCTTCCTAACATCTAATCTAAACCTACCCTCTTTCAGTTTAAAGCATTGCTGCCCCTTGTGCAGTCCCTATCTGCCCTTATAAAAAGTCCCTCCCCCTCCTTTTAATGAGCCCCCTTCAGGTACCAGGGGCCTGCAATTACGTCTCCCCAAAGCCTTCTCTTCTCCAGAAAACCCCAGCTTTCTCAGCATGTCTTCAAAGCAGAGGTGCTCCAGCCCTCTGATCATTTTCAGAACACAGTAAAGATCACAATATGTTTGAGAAGCTGAAACAGTTTATTAAAGGAAAAGCTCTGACATTACAGCGTGTGGAAAATCAAACCTACTGCTCCAGCCAAAATGCTCATGTTTTYTTCCCAGGAGATAAATTAGCCTAAAAACAAACCCATTTAATCTCTAAGCTACAGAGAGGTACTAGCCATATGTGAAGGTCCTTCATCTTCCTCACATACTATTGTCCATTATCACACTTTATTATATAAGACCAATTTTAAGAGCAGATGCAGGTCACRTTTGTATTACATCAGATTTCAATCCACTTCTTACATTGTCCAGCCCCTTCACAGAGAGTCCAGAAATCAAGCTCAATATTTGAGAAAACAAACGAACTTAAGGTACTTCACACTAGATTGGTCTTCAAGGTCCCTTCGAACCCAAACAATTCTATGATTCTAAGTTTTATTAAAATCTCACACATCCCATGCTACCAAAAAGAAATTCCATCATCATATGAACCAAGTACAAATCAAGCTATAGAAACCATTCTTCCTCCTGCCAAAGTGGTACCAAAACCAGCCCCACATTATCTGGAAAACACAAACTGAAGTTATGCGCTTGGTTGAGGGAGAATTATTTGCAAAAAAACCCAAACCTAATATGGTATTTTTTGGCCCAAATCTCACAGTGGAGATTTTCCATAGTGGAAATGTCAGCCAGGTTTCCCACCACCACCAGTTATTAAAAACGATACAAAACCAACTAAGCACATACTATACATAGCCCCAAAATCCCAATGCAACAATCAAAAAGACAGTAAGCAATTTCATAGTAAAAACCTGTCACCATCAAAACATTCCTACTTCAAATGGTCAAGATAGACTCCAGTCCTGAGTYAGAAGTGTCATTATAGAACTGTATTAACACAATAAAAACAGCAAGTAAATAGAAGTTACTAGACATTACAATTTTCCTTGTCCTATTATGATATTTAGATGTATCCAATATTGTTCAACTGCAGTAACAAAGAATTAGTCATGCACGTAGTCTTGAACAGTTCTTTTTCTAATCACCTACTTACAGAGCTTCAAGAAAAAAAAATACCACAAAAGACACAACAGCACCCTTACAGATTGTTAAACCTATTTCAGTACTACCATACAGAACAATCAACCTCTTGACTATGGTCAATGTGAAGTCATGAACATACTCAACAGCCMAAAAAAGCCTATGCACCAGCTCACTGAAACATACTGTTGTTAAGAAATGGAGTTAAATTGCTGTGTTTGCACCTCTTCTGGTTTTAGGGGTTGGCCAATCTGATGGTGGGCACTCTTCCTGACCGATGCACAGAATTTTCTTCTGGAAGTGGCAAAAATGGCACCAGGTTCATCTTAATCGCCTTAGTACACCTGCATATACTTTTTAAGATCCAGAACCAAACTACAACTCATTAAGACAATTTCAGTATTTTTCCCAGGATACAAAGTTTAAATGCTTATCCATYTTCAGTAATCTCATGATTTGTATGTCTCTTCTGAGGCTTGCCCTTGATACATGATTGGATGTCTCTGAGGAGACTCAAGTCCTCATCTGCATGTGATTTTAAAAGAATTGAGAAACACTGCTRCATAGCACACAAATAACAATKCGCCTGTGTCTTTTTGTCCTAAAGATGTACTTTTTCCTTTTATTGAAACACGACTAACAGAGAATACCCAGCACCATCTATGATGCATCTTGTTAAGAAATACAACTTCTTTCAGTGTTACATACTTACACACACAATTCCTCCCCCGACACGTGGTCAGCAATGAGTAATTCCTGAATTAAGGACCACCCCCCCACCCCCCCTCCCCCAATCTGGATGATCTATGGCAGAGGAGCATCATATATACGCCAGAAAGTGAAATATTTTTCAGGAGTTTACATTTCAGATTGTTTTATATTTCGGATCTGTTTTCATTCTTTTGAATGCTTTACCTTCAATAATTCCCTGCAGTTGTCAAGCCCAAGATCCACTAGAATGTCCTTCACCTTTTTTCGAGCCTTCCTTATATTATCAAGGTTTTGAACAGGAATTTGAAACATTTTGCACTTTTCCTGGGAGGAAACAAACAACAACAACCGAAAAATAAAGAAAAAGTTAAAAAAAAACAGAAAAGAAGAAAAAAATTTTTAAAAAAAGAAAAAAAGAAGAGAAAAATGACAAAATACTTGAACACAGGCACTAGCATTAATCGGTGTTAAAATAAGAACTAAAATCTGAAAAGACATAGAACAGAAACATTTAGGTTGGAAAAGACCTCCAAGATCATCAAATCCAAACATTAACCCAGCACTGTCAGTCCATCATTAACCACATCCCTTATCACTACACCTACATGTATTTTAAATACCTTCAGTGATGAAGACTGAACTACTTCCCTTGCCAGCCCATTCCAATGCTTGSAAACCCTTTTATTGAAGATTTTCCCAATATCCAATCTAAACCTCCCCTGGCACAACTTGAGGCCATTTCCTCTCGTCCTGTTACCTGGGAGAAGAGACTGACCCCCACCTGGCTACAACCTCCTTTCAGGCAGTTGTAGAGAGTGATAACATGTCCCCTRAGCCTCCTTTGCTGCAGACTAAACACCCCCAGCTCCCTCAGCCACTCCTCACAGGACCTGTGCTCCAGATCCTTCACCAGCTTCACTGCCTTTCTCTGAACTCACTCCGGTCCCTCAATGTCTTTCCTGCTCTGAAAGGCCCAGAACTGGACATAGCCAATTGAGGTGTAGCCTCACCAATGCTGAGTATAGGGGGGCTATCACTGCCCTGCTCCTGCTGGCCACACTTTTGTTGATATGGGCCAGGATGCAATTTCTTAAATACAAAAACCCAAAACGCTTAAACCAAAGAAGTGGTCTCATTAGTATTTCCCAGTAGATCACTTGACTGATTTTAAAGGAAACAGAACCTCACTTGGGGAAAAAAAACCACTTTACATTTCTTCTATCTACAGTAAACTCCAAATTTTTCTATCACATCTCCTTCTATCTACATGGCAAGAATACAGGTTTTGTGGGTTTTCTGTAAAAGAACATGAACACCAGAATTTTATTAAGTCTATTCAGAAAATTACTATAATCTGTATATAATTTAGAAAGAAGAAATTCAGCACCTTTCACCCTGAATCACAACGAGGAGTGTCTTTGGTAATTTTGTTTGCTGTTATGTATGYACATGCTTAAAATATGATTGTTAGTAAAATCCAGATTTGCTGAAGAAGTTTCTACTTCTGTGAACTCATAAGGTATCCCCATGGGCTCAGCTTTATGAGACTGTCAACAGCCTTTGTCAACTCCTTCGGAGCTAACAGCACRATGCAATTTAAGACTGAGCTATAAGAAACTATAATGGATACAAAATGCAAAACCTAGCCCTAAGCCYGTGCTGAAAAAGGTCACTGGAAGTTTCTCCAGTATTTGGTGTTTAAATAGCTGACAGAGGATCCAGAAAGGTTTACAATATCTTAGTCTTTACTGCTAAACAATTCACCCATCCAGGACAAGATAGAACAGGAAAAAGAAAAAAAGGAAGGAAAAAAAAAAGGAAAGTCCCAAACAGTACTTTGGCCTTGACAGTCTCAAATGTCTTGAAAAGTTGTACGTTACCAAAAAAAAAAGCAAGTTCCCTGCCAAAACAAAAGCTTTACTTTGAATGGCAATCATGCAAAAAGTTGCAAAATCCAATCCACTTGCACATAAGACACCAGCTACAAGCTAAGTCNAAAAAAAAAAAAAAAAACCTACAAGCCATAGAAAAAATGTTCTTGTCTATATGTAACCCACCCCACACCTTAATTTATATACAAAACATACAATTGAGGGGTTTATAATTAAAATTCAAACTCACATACTATTCTTCGCTTCTTCTCCCCCGAAAGGAAAGGTGTGTAGAGAGAAATGGAGAGAGAACCCCATTTGACAGATGCTAGTCTTGTTTTCTAATGTTTTTCATCACCAAGAAGTCCCGAAGACATTTTGATACCTTTGGGGTAGGTGCAGAACAGGAACCTATACAGAATGGAACAAATCAGAGTAACTGGTCTGACAGTCTCTCAAAATGCAAGGAGTAAAAAAATTGACATAAAATCCTCTTATCAAAGTGAAGTCCACCAGGAATTTGCAGCCTCCAGTTAAAGCTTTATGATCAGTCCCTCAATGACAGCAGGTTATGCACATCAACCCCACAGTCCAGTGTGGGTAACAACAGAGAGACCGGACATCACCACCCTCAGGTCAGCAAGAAGGAGATGTGGTTCAATACATGAGGCTCCACTGGAAACAGTTCCCCCGTCTCAGWCTTTTAACTCATACATTGATGCTGCTGAAGAAGGTGAAGCAGGCATTTGTTGAGGCATGTCCAGGTCACAAATAAGAAACTGCCTACAAGGGGTATAGTATGCAACATCCATGTACCTCAAGAGTTTTCTTAACCACTAATCATTCTGAAATGGAAGTTATTAATCCAGAAGAAAGAAAAACACTCAAAAAAATCACTGTAACAAAAAAGAAACTTGAATATAAATTATTTTCTAATTTTCAAGCAGTTGGTCTTCAATCCGAAGGCCATCATGTGCAAGATTACTCAGTAGGTGTTTAAACAACCTGCTTGGGAGTAAGGCTCTTAAATTGATCATCTCACACCAAAATCACAGAATGAACCAAACCTCCCATGGGCAGGGACACCTTCCACTAGACTAGACTGCTCAAAGCCCCATCCAACCCACCCTTGAACAYTTGCAGGAATAGGGCAACCACAGCATCTCTGGAAAACCCCTGCCAATGCCTCACCAGTCTCACAGTTAAGAATCTCTTCTTATGTCTAATCTAAACCTACCCTCTTGGATTCTCTGTACCCATCAGACCAGAAATGCCCATCAAAAAGGTCACAAAAGCTCAATCTTCTGAGCTTATTCCCTCAAGCTCTTAGTTTAATTCCTTGATTATTATGCAGTTTGCTTTCCACATTCTCATACTAATATTGTTTCTCTTGTACTTTGGATATAAGCTTTAGTTTGCACTTTGGTTCCACACATAACTACCATTTGCTGCTCCATATCTCATTCTTAACCATCAAATTAAACATGAAAGCACTACTACAGTAAAACTGAACTGGAGTTACCTTAGCCCAAGAGTCTTGATCAATTTACTGTGCTGACTACTTAAAAGACCAAAATTTATCCTTCAYTGCTTCCAATTGTTGTTTCCAAAAAACATGATAATCCACTGAGTATTCAGACACATTTCATAAACAGAACCAAGGCAAGTTTATTGCAAAATAAAAAAAATAATTTTAGCAGCTGATGTCTCAAATTCAGTTCTAAGAGRTCATTCTACTCTTGCTCAAGCACTTTATCCATCAAGGTATTCCTGCATTTACTGCTTATTTAAATAGTATCTCCATGATTCACAAAATGGAGTTTTATTCAACACTACAGGTTCCTTTAATTTATACAACATCTATTATCATAGACTCTAATACCAAACTACATTCGGCTTTTCAAAGATCACAATTAAAACTCTTCCCTTCCAGCAATACTGCAATGTTTTAAGGCTACCCTAAAAAACAAGGTAAAGGTCTGCAGAGTACCTTAGTAGTAAAAGACACCGGTCTGCTATCATTTCTCTGCATTAAAAAAAGCGCAAAAACACTAACACTGTACCTCTTCAAAGCAAGAAGCCATCACAAAATGCCAAGTTCCTACTCTACTTCTCAGCACAATACTCATTCACCTTGGAAGAGTCCTTAAGAGGACACCCAGTCCAGCCGGCTCAACCATTAACTGGCCAGGGTACTCTGTTCTGGCCAGTCAGGTTTGTTGGCCTCTCTAGGCAACATCCTCCAGAGACRGAGTGTTCACATTGAGAGCTTTTCTCCTTACACGAAATCAACACCATTTTCATTTGTGTTCCTACAGAAAGTAGGCATTTGCAAGAAAATTAAAATGGAAGCAGTATGGAGCTGGCATAAGGAAGATGGAAATCTATGTGCCTTCAGTGTGCATGCAAATACTTATAGCAAAACCCAGTAAACTAGACAATCAGGCATTTCTAGAGTTTTCAGGAAAAGAAGCATGTTAGAAGAGCCACAGAGAAAATGGCCATAATGTAACCCTTTTAGGCACTAGATAATCTGTACAGAAACAGGATCTCCTGATGTGCTCCTAGATKGTTTGTTTTCACTAGTCTGTTGCTCATAGAACCATTTAGAGCAGGGAAATTATGAAAAGCTTATGGAACTTTGTCCTTTCACATTATCRGCCTTGGAAATGGAATCCTACTTAGTTTTTATAGCTTTTATCTAGTAACTGTCATTAGTAACTGAGAGATTTCTAAAATAACWTTTGTCTTTATTATAAAGGTTTGTACCTTTTATAGAACCTTTATAGGTTTGGAACACTTGAGTTGGAACATTTACAAAGGTTTGCTTCCCAAGTTGTATTTCAGCAGTTATCAGAATCAAAAGCTCTGATTGATTCTGACAATTATTTTCATTTTAGTAAACTCATTAGAAGTTGATAATTTAGTATTAGTTGAGAAAACAGTAAAAACTGCTTCATTCCTGAAAGTGGAATGAAAGCAAGGGATTTATTATTTCCAAGAATCTAAAGAACAAGAACACAGGATGGCAGAGAGCAGCCAGGACACTGAAGATGGCCTAGAAGAATGAGAGTTTGGCTTGGCCATGGCAAATTTTACCCTCATCAKTTTTGTTTTGTTTCTGGTAAGCTAACAAGTCCTCTATGAAGTCACATCTGGGTATTCGCTAAACCACATGTTACATATCAGTTYTACTTCCTGGGCTCTTATCTCTGCCTTCTGAAAGAAACCTAACTGGATTTACAAGTACTGGCAGCATCAAAGCTTATTCAGCCTCTGAGGGGAGAGGGAAAAAAGGTTCAAAGTTTTCTAAACTAAAACAGTCATTTATTAGAATGGATGCTATTCTTGTTCGCTATTTAATCTGTTGTAATTTTAAATATAYTTTAATAAAACTTACACAGAGCTGTTCTGTCAACGAAGAATTTCCTCTTCACCTTCTTATATTCACATTTGTCTAATCGCACTTGATAGAAATCTCAGGTAAGGAAAAAACACTGAACTCTGTGAAACTAGATCACAAACTTCTGGGCATCTCAAATCATAGATCCCTTAGTRTCACAATAATTTTGCTCTTTTCATGGGTATAAATCACATACCTGTTAAAAGGTCATCTTGCCTAACACAAAGATGGCCATCAGTCAACAGCTAACMCAATGAAGAGCATTAAGGTATATGATGATATAGATGAAGATACAGCACAATAACCTGACTCTTATCTAGCAAATCAAATCAAAACAAATTTAGATCACTAACTTCAGTTACTTCAGTGGTTTAAATAACTATTGTGAAGTTCATTAACACACAACCAAGTCCCTGCTATCTAAGACTGCTGAAAATAAACAAAGGGAGAAAGAATATCACTCAAACTCATGGAGCCTTCCTAAAGCACTAACTCACACAGCAGTCTGATTCCCTTGGGAGTCCCTTCTGGGTCCTGGCCAGAACTTGAACCCAGCAGRAACCAAGTTCATCCTAGGTGATATAAGCAACTGCATGGAGCCCACTCAAATTCTGCAGTTGTCAGCCTCATGTGTATGTGAGCAGAAGAGTCACACCCTGAGCCCAACTGTTCCAGGAAGAAGTAAAACTGCATTTGTGCTSCACTCATCAGCTTGCTATGACCCCGAGACTTTGTACTTTACAAATGCACATATCAGGCCACWGAACAGATAATCCAAAACCTTAACAAGTCAGCAAGAGGACAGAACTAAAAAAACCAACCCAAGGCTGTACAACAGATCTCAGAGGAAGGACTGAAGTGTACAAACACAAACCAGCTCTACCAGCACTYAGTAAGACTAAGCCCAAATACAAGAGTTCTCGAGTTCTCAATGGAAAAACGTATGGTGTAACAAAACTGTGTGCTCTCTTGTTTCTAATTATTTGCTGACATTTCTGGGGGTCGTTGTATTTTATAAAACTTTGAAACCAACCACAAGAATTATTACAGCTTATAACATACTGCATACCTTTTAAGAGGTTCATTACAACTTACCATATACTTTATTTCCTACCCAGTTTCTCAAAATATTGCGCTAAAGAAATCCCCTTTTCTTCATCAGAATTAAACAGAAAGTATATTAAAAGAAGAACTAGGATTTCTAGAATACAGATGCAAAATCGTAAGAGTCTGTTCAAGTATTTCATCATAGTTCTTTACAAGTGTTTATTACAGATATTTTTATGACAGAAAACTGTTAAGGACAACAACCAATTCCTCTAATTTACCCGTCAGCAGCTGAAAGTGAGTYGTTCGTAACTTTGACAATACAGAACTGTGAACCGCGGCAGGAGTCAAACAAGTGTCTTTTATTWCATTTACAAACCAAGAGAACCGGAACTCCCCATTACCTGCTCTCGACCACAAAGTAAGTGCATTCAAATGGTTTTCATGGTTTGCATTGTGCGGGTTGTGTTTGTTTATATTATTCATAATTTTTTTTTAATCGTATGCATTGCGGAGGCACCACAAGGATATTTAACGTAACCTCGCATCCCATTAACCGATTCCATTAACTGGTGATGAAGTGATGGTTCTGCACGCGTGCCGTTCCTACCTACGCTACTGTTTGCCACAAACTATTTCAAATTCAAACAATTAATTTACAAGTAATTAAAACTATTCATCCACAGACTTGGAGGCAACCTATTTACCTAGTTCCTTAGACACTCCATCGCTAAAGTGCGACCTGGAATTAAGTAACAAACAAGCAAGAAGCGCGGTACTGATGAGCAGTTCGCAGCCCGCAGCAGCGGCGACGAAGCGGGCGGATATTCCCCGTGGTAAAACGCCTCACCCAATGGCCGATGGGGCCACTCCGGACCCGTCCCGTCCCTCCCCGCCCGCTCAAAGCTCGCAGAGCCCGCCGAGCCAAAAGCGCGCAGCCACCGGGGCGTTCGCCGCCCTCCGCCCCGCCCCGCCGCACGTACCCGGCCGGGCTGCAGGGGGAGCCCCCGCCGCCGCTCCTCCTCCTTCTCCTGCGACGGCCGCCGCCGCCGCCCGTCGCGG